GTTTTTCAAGGATTTGGGCGTTCTCGCCTCTTCCGCTTCCCCACGCGCCAAGACGGCCCAAGAGGCTCCCAAGATCGCCCCGACACGGCCCAAGAGGCCTCCAAGAGGGTCCACAAACGGCCCAAAAGTGCCCCAAGACGGCCCAAGACGCCTCCCAGATTCACAAAAGGCCCCCAAAACGGTTCCAAGAGAGCGCCCAGACGGGGGACCCGAACGGACATTTCGAGCCCTCAGCCCCGAGAAGCTCCCAAGAGGCCCTCCAGGAAGCCCACACAGGCCCCAAGAGGCTCCCGAGAGGCCCCAAAAACTCTCCTAGGAAGCTACAAAACAAAATATTCGACCGGGCGTTGGTATTTCTCCCCAGTGACAGAACGCTGTCTCCAGGGTCGGCGGCATCGGCCGTCAGGCCTTCGCAATAAAGTTTTGCCAGCCAGGTCTTCCCGAATATCTGTTTGAGGCACCACCTCTTCAGGCAGGAGATCTCTCTCTTTATCTCTCTCTCTCTCTCTCTCTCCCTCTCTCGCTCTCCCAATCTCCCAATCTCTCTCTCTCTCTCTCTCTCCGTCTCTCTCTCTCTCTCTGTTTCTCTCTCTCCTTCTCTCGCTATTTCTCTGCCTCAGCGGTCAGGGGCACGCCTTTCTCTCAAACTTTTACACACTGCATGGTCGGACAACGCGATCCCCGGGCCCTTCAACATGACATTTCTCTTGCTCTTCCTAGATTCGCTAAGCAAGCCTAGCCTGTAACCTGGCGGTGCTACGCCGAGAGCCCACAAGCCAACATAACAAGACTTAGGTCATAGTAGCGGCCAGGGCCTCAGATTGCGGGTGGCTCTGCGGCAGGGGCGGGGGAGTGGACCAGAGCCGCGGCCGGCGCGGGGGCGAAACTCGCACTGGCACCCTTGGTGGGGGCGTGGTCAAGGGCTGGGGCCGGCGCGAGAGCGAAACTCGCGCTGGCACCCTGGGTGGGGACGTGGTCAACGGCTGGGGCCGGCGCGAAGGGGGAACTCGCGATTGCAACCCGCTCGGGGGCGTGGTCAAGGGCTGGGGCTGGCGCAAGTTCGAAACTCGCGCTGGCAACCTGTACGCCTCTTTCGAAGCCCAACACGTTCTTGACGATCACTGTGATGGCGATCCCAGTGGTTGCTGCCGATATCCCACTGATGCTGCAGACTGCGCTCAGCAGCGAGGCGCTCAGCGTCGGTGTCGCTGCCAACTGGCTGGCTGCCGTCGTGACGGGGGTGCCAGCGGGCAACGCGATAGTGACGCGCGCGATGACAGAGCCAGCCCACAATTCGATGGAGACGTCTCGCTCTGCCACCTCTGCTTCGTCAGCCACGGCAGCCTTGATAGCAACCTCCACGTCGCCCAGCAGACCGCCACTGGCCAGCAGTACATAATCAAGGCCTTCAAGCCTCACCTCTAGCGACACAACATCCTGGGCGCCGTCGTCTGCTGGGAGAGTCTCCGCCAACGGGGGTAGCGGTGGGGGCGACGATCCCAAGGTTCTGCGCAGCACCATCCCACTGTTCCAAGGGCGCAGTGTACTGCAATCCCAAGCCAGATTGCAGTGCAGCGTTTGAGCCTCATCGTTGGCGCTCTGGGTGTAGACCTCGATGGCGACGCACGGCCTGTTCTCAGTGTCGCGGCTCGTCTCGCACAACTTCTTGCAGCCCGCGACCGTGCCGACTGGGTTGTGCAGCCACCCGCGCCAGAAGGGGTCCGGGTCGCTTGCAGAAGCGCAGGAGGACCGCTCGAAGGGCACCCACACCTGCGCGAGTGCGGAGCCAAGGTCCGGCGTCAAGGCGGATGCCGGCATCGGCTGCGGAGCTGGCGCCGCTCCTGCGCAAGCACTGCAGCCAGAACACACTCCCTCCAATGTGCAGCGGCTGGGCAGCAGCACTCGGTCGCACCAACGTTCGCACGCGGCTAGCGTCCACGCGGGCTCCAACGCTGGCGCGGGTGCAAGTTCTGGAGCTGGTCTCGGAGCAGGCCCTGACGAAAATCCCGACGTAGGTCCACGAACTGTTTGGGAAGCTGCTCGTAAATTACCAACGGCTGCCACGACAGCGGCATCGCCAGCCCCCCACACGAGGCTGCTTAGCAGCCATGCCGCCGCGGCGGCAATGAGGCGCTGCATTACATGGCTTGAAGGTTCCAGCGGCTCTCCTTGAGCTAAAACGTTGGCGACCTCTTTCGCACGAGCACGGGCAAGACGAATAATGATTCGACGCGGAGGTCTCCACATGCGCATCTCAGTTCCTGACACATCCGTCTTTAAGTAAAGGAATCTTAGCCTGTGACGACTGGGTGCTCCTTGGCAGCTCCGCCTCGGAGTGGCCAAATGCTATGTTTGCCACATCGGGATGATCCTGCGGTGACCATGCGGCCCTCAAAATTCGCCGGCCCAACGGGCCAGAGGGGTGCTAAGGTCTCTGGTGACAGGTACACAGTACTTCTATTTGCAATTCGCGCGTGTTGGGCGGCCCCTGGGGGTTCCCGGGCGAAATATGTCCTGGGCAGGTCACCCGCAAGGTCCCATGAGAGATGGTTTTGCTCCCAGGCGCCACCTTCGGGGCCTCCCAGAGAGCCCCAAGAAGAGCATAGAGACTCCCAGGAAGCCATCGAGATGGTCCAAGAGAGCCCCGAAACGCCACAAGATCGCTACAAGACGGCCAAGATAGCCTCCAGACGGCCCATCCCCAAAGAGTCCCAGGAGGCAACGTCATGAATTTTCCAAACAAGTGTTTGAAGGATTTTCTAGTTTCGCCTTTTGAGCTTCCCGACGCTCCAACGCGGCCCAAGAGGCCCCCAAGACCGCTCCAAGACAGCCCAAGGATCTCCAAGAGGGTCCCAACACAGCCCCAAAACAATCCAAGCGAGCCCCAAGATTGCCAAAGAGGCCTCGAAAACGGCCCCAGGGGGCCCAAGACTGCTCCAAGAGATGGCCAAAACGGGGGGCCCGAGCGGCCATTTCGAGCTCTTTGCCCGAAGAGGCTCCCAGGAGGCCCCAAGGGGTGAGGCCCCAGCAGGTTTCAAGAATACCGCCAAGAGGTCCCCGAGAGGCCTCTCACCCGAAAGCAAGGTGCACAGCTTGCACCGAAAAGCTCAAGTCTTCAGACTGCCCCAAACCGAACATCCACAGAGGGCATTCTCCACACCGGCCCAAGTTAAACACCTGCATGACTCATGCACCGCAGCGGCCCGCAACATACCTCCCCAGAGGCAGCTCAACAGCAGCTGCTTCAGCTCGAACGCTCCTCACGCACCGCGCCGTAGAACAACCGCCGCTCAACACCACTACATTGACAACGCACACACGGGGAACCAAGAGCAGTCAAACAATATGGGCTGGCGGAATGAGCGAAGCGACCAAACCAGCGAGCCGCTCGAGACCACACCAGCATCTGGTTGCTAACGGGCAAATGAAACGGCTTCGAATAGGCTGTGCCAGATGCCAGAGTGCCCCGCGTGCTCGGTTTACGCGTAGCCAATTCGGTGCACGATTGCATGGAGAAGCTCGGGTCTCGTGCAAGCTGAATACCAACTCGCTGCTCGCCTTGGAGGTCGAGTTTCTGTTGTGGGAAGGAGGGGGGTTGTGTTCATTGGTTCGCTGTCGTCCTTCTCCTCCTCTAGCCCTGATCCTCTCTCCCTCCTCCCTCCTCACGGACATCTCCTTCAACATCCCCCCTCATTCCACCAACCGCCTGTTCCCTTCTTGGTCTCCTGCCTCCTCTTGCCTCGTATCTCCCCATCATCTTTCTCCCACCCCCTCCATTGCTCCACTTCCCCTCCTTCTCCTCCATCCGTTTTGCAAATAAGCGGCTCCTCCTTGCCGCAGACCCCGAACGCGTCGGTAGGACGGGCCGGGCGTTTCGCCTGAGAACTCTCACGATACACCATCCTGAAGCTTGTAGGAAGATGGACGGCGCGTGTGTCTCTCGCCCTAGAGCCGCGCACATTCGTCTCACAAGTCTGCAACAGTTCGGTTCAAAGGATGGTGGACAGGTGGTTTTTATATAAGGACGGAGGGCAATTCTCGCCTTGGCGCCGCGCACATTCGTCTTACAAGTTTGGAGAAGTTCAATGGCTCGTATACTGGGAATATGAGGGATGTTCTTCTGGCGCGGTTCACACAGTAGTCACGCAGTCACGTCGATTCGCGGCGTTGACATCCCAGGAACGGTGTCTGGCAATATTGAGGATTGTCAGGACGCAGCAGTCAAGTTGGTCCACGCCGTTGAAGTCTCACGGTGTTTGTGTGCGCATGTGTGTGCCAGGACGGTAGAGAATTCTTAGACGATTGTTCTCTAGTAGGCCATTTGCAGCAAGGGGCCTGTGAAAAAGGGAACTTGGAGTGAATCCTCCTCCTCCTCCGCCAACCTCTCCAGCTCATGCTCCCTCTTCCTCCATCCTCGTCTTCCCCACTCGCATCAACAACATACTGTCCAAATAACGGAACGTGGAGCCCGCCCGTGCCAACGCCCGTCGGCTCCCTCGCCAGGGGATACTGAGAGAAGGAAGTGAAAGGAAGCGGAGCAGGAGAGAACGCGAACATGAAGGAGACGAAGGAGGAAGCGGCGGCGGAGGAGGATGGGGTGAATGGGGCAGGAAAAGCAAGAGCAAAGGGAAAAGGAGACCCAGAGCGGCGTGCGTCCCGCGACCCGAACGGACCGCGGGCCCGGCGAGGACCTTCCCACTCCCAAGGTTCCTTTCCCAGCCCCCCCGGCGAAGGAACAGACGTTGGGTTCGAGCCCGTTCGGCGGCCCAACGGGCCCAACGAGCATCGCCCAATTGGAACTGAGCCCGTTGGGCTGCCCGCTCGGTTGCCGAATGGGCTCAGACGCCTACTGGGCTCGGACGAGAGCTCTGAGGTCGCCCTCTCCATCCCCATCCCTCTCCTCCCGAGCCCTCCCTCTGCCAGGACCCCCTCGAGAGCCCTCGCCTCCGCTCTCCTCCCCCATCGCCCCTTCCCTTCCCGACCCCTCCCCCTCACTGGAAGCCTCAGATTTTCGGCGGCCGCCCCCGAGCAACGTGAAAATCGACGCGCGAACACGGCGTAGCCTCGTTTGCAGAGGCTGGTACTGTACAGGCACGCCTACACGGCTGCCAGTGCTGGCGGGCGGAAATCATAAGGAAAAGGAGGACGTTTGTGCTGGGGTCAGGGGCCAGGGAGGAGCGATCAAGAGCGGAGCAGCCCTGAGGTAGGAACATGCACTGGGAGGCCATCGCTCTTCTTCGTGAGTCTCGCGTTCCCTTCTCAGGTCGACAGACGGCGCGGGAAAGAGGTCCAGAATGTGTCAGACGCTCCCTGAAGAAGAGACTGGCAGCAGCTCTCACCAAGCAGCCAGGCCTAACACCTTTGCAAAAGTCTGTATTATCAGGAACACCGTCAAGATCGACAAATACACGAACACCGGGTTGTCGAAACTAAGGAAGCCTCCACCGGGCAGCTTTCTCTGCAGGTCGCCCTCGAATTCCTCGACCGCCTCCCGCACACCAGGCTCGCGAGGCCCTGACACCAACTTAGCCTCACGGAGATACTTGTCGTAGAACCACTTCTCGCTCTTGCGGTCTTCCTCTGGCGCGGCGGCCAGCTCCTTCAAATACTCCTTCATCTCGCCACGCCTCTTGCTCTTCGCCAGCTCCGTTCTCCTAGCTGGCACTACCACGTAAAACCAGACTGCGAATGGCACAACGCAGGCGGTGACCACCACCGCGAAGGTCGGTAGCAGCGTGGCCCAGTCGGGCTCGCTCAATTCGGGCAACGGCCTCGTCCTGCTGACGGCCTCCGCCAATCTCGGGTCGGCGCGGCGCGCCACTCCGAGGTCGCGCCCTGCATGCTTCCGCCGTGCGGTCGGCGCAAGGCGCGCTGGGCGGGCTGCCGGTCGCCCGAGGAGAGCCAGGTCCGGCCTCTGCAGCGAAGCCGCGCCGCCGCCCAGGCCAAGCGCGCTGAACGCAACCGCCAGCGTGGCCGCTAGCGCCGCTGTCGGCGCCTCCTGGAGGCGCACTCTCCGGAATCTCCGCGGGCCTTCCGCGCGACCCCGCGTTACCCGGATGGCGCCCAGCAGCCCCATGGCCACGGGACCGATGAGGAGAAGCAGGAGGGAGGGAGGCAGGCCCCGTGCCAGAGCCTAGGGCCACAGCGGGGCGCCCCGGGCCCCTCGAGCCAGGGTGGCGGGAGGAACAGGCCACGGGCTCCTTCATGCTTCCAGCTATCGCAGGGGCACCGAGCGGGGCCGCGCTTCCAGCTCCGGTCCAAGAGTGATTTGACGTGGGCAGGACGGGAGGAAGAGACGGGCCGAGGGAGGGGCGGGGGATGGAGTCGGATGGGGATGCGCGGATGATGGTGGACTGCTTTACTCAACATGCGGACTTGCAGACGACAAATGAAAGCTCCTGAGCCCACTGGATACCAACCCAAATGTGTATATATATATAGATATAGATACAGATGTACACATGCACATGTACACCAGTGCCGACCACCGCTTTGCAGAGTGATCAGGAGGGTGAAACTTTTGGCTGTCCCCCTCGCCCTTTCGCCTCCCCGTGGGGTCCAAGATCCCATAGAAGGGGAGGGGGGGCGAACTCGTCAACTCACCGTGCCGCCAAATTGCACAAGTTACCTGCTAAGATTGCGTCAGGAGTGCTCCAACATGCCAGAGATACCTCAATGGTGCAAAACATGGCCTCACGACGGCCCAAGACACCCAGACTATGAGAACGATTCTCACGCGGGGGAGGGGGAAGAAGAAGAAGAAGAAGAAGAAGAAGAGGCGGATGGGGGAGATGAGGGCAGGGGTAGGGGAGGGGTGCAGGGTTGAGGATTGGAGGGGGAATGGAGGAGGGGGGCGGCAGGAAGGAAAGGGAGGGGGACGGGGAGCGGGAAGGGAAGGGGCAGGTGCAGGGAAGGAGGTCGGGGAGGGTAGTGACGACGAAGATGCACAGAAAGAAAAGAGAGACGAAGAGACGGAGGTCGACGAAGAAGAAGATAATGAGGATGATAAAACATGAAGAGAAGACGATCAGGATGCTTCTGAGGCAGAGCGGAGTAAGCTCAACACGATCACACACACACACACCCACACACATCATTGATTCTGAAATACACCGTCGAACCCCAGGCACCCTCCTCATAAGTTAGTACGAACAACTACTACTGTCACTTCGGCGAGCACCCTCTGGTCCATTGACCTGCGTGAAAAGAACCCTATGTGCTTTTGGAGCGATAACTCCACCACGTCGCACCGCGACACGACCGCCCTCAATCCAGGGAGCTGGTACAGAACTGTCCCAACATGGGATCAATGGCGGAACGAAAACACGATGTTGAAAAAGATCTGCCCTCCATGCGCGCAATTGCTGGGAACTCAATGTCATATAATGTAGGCTTCCATGACGTCTCTCGTGCGAGGGGAGCCTTGAACAAAGTGTCACTCGCGATCAATGTAACGATTCGAAGCTTCAAATTGTAAAAACACATGCAAATGTTGAGGGGGTCTCGAACGATAGCAAATTTCGAAGATGTACTGACATCCATCCGTGTAGCAGTGACAATGTCCAAGATGCCTTACCAGACCTGGGAATGTCACAGTGGACAACCTCATGTCTAACAAGCGCCGCCCTCTATTCGTGTAGGACGAGCGAACGTGAGCGGCACAAGGGTGATAACTGCATGCTGACGCCGAGTCACCCTCGATCTGCGTAGCTGTTGAAACTTTGAAGACGGGCGTGTGTGTGAAGGCGGGAACCTCATATTGAGAAAGAGCCACCCTGCACTCTTGTGGTTGATATAGCTTCCAAGCTTGAGGACCTTAAGTGGTGAGGCGATCTCAGGGGAAACGCCTGGACCGCCCTGTCATTACGTCTCGTGGTGCGACGGGGCGGAATCGTTGACATGAACGAGGGATGGCGAAGAAAGGAAGATGGTGACGAGGAAGTGGAGGACGAAGACCGGAAAGGGCACGGCTCAGAGCCGACCGTTTTTGCCTCTTCCGCTGGAAGCGCCGCGCGAGACTATAGCAGGATCCGCCCCGCAGCTTCACACTCGCAGGATCGGGTGCTCGCCCACGCCGGGTGGCGACGAGGAAGCGCGCGCGGTCCACTCGGCCGCTTCCTGACCTAGGAGAGCGCCAGGCGTTCACCCACACCGACCCTGGCCATGCCAATCCTGGGCCCACAGAGGGACTTGTGGACACGCCCTGCTGCCTCAACTTGGAAGGCGGGCCCAAGCACACCGGTCCTGGGTCCAGGGTTGGCCTGTCCAAGTCGGTGCAGACGGGCAGTTGGCTTCCCACGATCACCGGTGATGGAGAAGCTGGCCTTGTACCACGCCTGGGCGACCCTGCCCGCCCGCACTTCCGTCTCCCAGACCCGGTCGGAGTCGGCCTGGACGCCCCTCAGCACCTTCGAGCCATACGGGCCGCCCGCGTTCACCTTGATGATGTCATCCACGGTGCCGGCCAGAGCCCGCTGGCCCGCCTCGATCTCCCTCAACATTCGCTCGTCTACGGACCGTTCCGCGAAGGAGACGTCGTTGATCTCGAAGTGCAAGGCTAGCTTCCGGTACGAGCCGTCAGGAAAGCAATGGTCGATGTAGTGGAACATGCCGACGTCCCGCCCGCTGGTCTCCACCATCACATTGAGGTGCTGCCTCCGCGCCTCACTGATGAGCAACATGCCCCACATCTCCGCGATCCGCTGGCCGCCCAGCGGGGCGGGCCCTGGTGTGATCAGATGATATGTGCGCGGGCCTGACATCATCTCCTGCTCGTTCTACTGATTATCATCTTCATTATTCTTCATCCACCCTCCTCCTTCCTTTCCCATTATACTCCGCTTCCTCATGCTACTCCTTGTTTCTGATGTTCCTCCAACTTCTCATGTTCCATCTTGTCATGCTCCATCATACAAATCTTCGTTATCGCCCTACCCATGATGTTCTACATCATCCTCCACTTGCTCCTCCTCTTCCTTCAATATTCCTCCTCTTCCTGCTCCTCCTCCTTCCCAGCTTCCCTCATCTCCTCATTATGCGGCTGCTGATGTGACCACCAGAGGGGGCTTGAGCAGGAAGCGCGTCGTCTGCACTAGCCCAGCTCGCTACTGCAGCCGTGAGGGATCGGGTAGGAGCAGGGAGGAGGAGGATGGGGGAGGCAGGAGTGCAAGAGGATGAGGAGGGAGAGGGGGTGATGAGGACGATTTGGGAGAGCATTGCGAAAACGAGAATGAGGAGGGTGGGAGGAGAAGGATCAAGAGCAACGACGATGAAGAGGAGGATGACAATGAGAAGGAAGGGAAGGAGGAGGAACAGGAGGAGCAGGAGGAACAGGAAGAGAATATGCGCAGACCCGCAGACCCCTCCCCTCCCAACCCTCCCTCCCCCGCCACCTCTTGTCCCCTCCGCTCCGTTCCGCTCCGTTCCTCTGTACTGCTCCACTCCCATCTGTTCCCCATCAACTCCTTCCGCTCTGATCTCCGCTTGTCCCCTCCCCTCCGCTCTCATCCCCCCTTCTCCGGGCGTGCTAGCGAAGCCGCCGATTATCTTTCGGTACCGGCCGAAGATGCCGTCCTTCAGGGCAGAAGCCGCCTGCCCATCTTCTGGGGCCCCAGCCTGCTGACGTTTGCGTGCTTACTGCCGGATGTGTGTGGGGGGGCAGGGGGCTGGGGAGGAGAGGTAGGGGTGGGGAAGAGGACTAGGAGGAGGCGGGGGGAGAGGAGTAGAAGCAGCAGGGCTCGTCGAAAACTGCTTCGATGCAGCGCCGCCGCCCGCAGCAGCGAGGGGCACGCCAAGCGTGGCTCCGCGAGCGCACGGGGGCACGATGGGAGCGGCACCGCTTGCGGAGGCACGAAGCGCGGTGCGTATGGTCCAGCGTCACCGCCTGCGGTGGTAGTGGGGCGCCGACGCAAGTAGGGACGGTGTCGCCGTTCTCTGCGCTAAGGCCCACGAGGGCCCCAGGCAGCGCCGGAGACGGGTCGCTCGAGCTGGATGGCGAGACCGCCATTGTCAGAGACGTCCTGGCAACACGAATGGAGGTTGCGGTAGTCGACGTCGATGGTGCGGCGCCGTTCGCGTCAACAACGGGCACGCTGGCACTGGCGCGCTGGGCGCACCGGGCCTGTCCCAATCCGGCGCTCTCGGATGGCATCCAACCTGGCCCAAGAGGCCCCAAGCCGATCTCACGCCAGCCGCGTAAAACGACTCCGCAACAAAGGGGCCATCGGGCCTCGGGCCAAGAGTGGACTGAAACCCTACACGCCGCCACGCTGGTCCCGGGCAGGCTGTACTGCCCGGCGGAAGAGGCAGAGGAAAGGAGAAGCAAGCAGACGACGACGAACGCGCAGGCGGGAGGCCAGGGCTGGCGGGGTGGGCGGGCAGGCGGAAGAGGGGCCGGGCGGAGACAGCAGGCAGGGAGCAGGAGGAAAGGAAAGGGACGGAGGCAAGAAGAGGGAGGAGAGGGGGAGCAACCGCAAGCAGACAGGCCTGGCCAAGGGCAGGGAGAGAAGGGCCACCCGCGACGAGGCTACAGACCCTACGGCGGCCTTGCCGACCAGGCGGCGCAGGCGTAGCGTAGAATGGGCGGCGGGCGTCGGGGGGGGGGGCGTTCGCAGTCGTCGGGACGTGCCGTCGGGGTCGTCCGGGGGCGGCGCGGGCTTGCCGACCGAGCCCATGGCGCTGCAGCTTGGTGGGGAGAGCCCTCTGCGGGATCACCCACCGCCCCGCCGGGGAAGGACCCGACGGAGCGCGCGGGGGCGGGGCGAGGAGCTGCCAGCGCGACGCTGGCGGAAGGGGCGCGGGGGGCGCTTGTGCTTCCCAGTAAGGGCGGGGGGGGTGGGCGGGGGGCGCTAGGCAGCGCCGAGGGTGCCTCGCACGGCGTCCGCCGTGGAGGCAGCCGTGGCCGCGGCCAGACGGGCCGCTGCCACCCCCGACCCTCCAGACAGCAACACCGCCCGCGCGCTCTCCCTGTGCAGGGAGACGGAAAGTCGCTGGGCGTGTCGGTCCGCAGCCACTGCGGCGTCTTCCCCCGTGACGTCTGCCACCCGCTTGGCTAGGACCCCGAAGGCACTGCGTGCCTCGCGGCCCCACCCACCGTAGGCTTCCACCGCCAGGGTGAGGAAGGTGAAGCCCTGTGCCACGCATAGCCGCGCAGTGTCCTGGTGCTGCTTTTTGAACACCTCGTGCCGCTCCGTCGCCGCGCTCGACGAAGCGGCCGACGCAACGAAGAGGTCGGCGCGCAACCTGGACATGGTGGCGAAGTTCCAGGCGGCCGCCGTGCCGTTGCGCCACCGAGGGAGGTAGACGTCGGCAGGGCGGCGGCAAGTGTCGCCCACCTAGGACCTGCTCGCCCTCGGGGGTGGCCTCCCCAGCGGGGCGTGGGGGTAATGGCCCAGGGCGCTCAAACTCCGCCCCGGCGTGGCCAGCAGTCAAGGCGTTGAAGAAGGCCCGGTTGCGCAAGGCGTTGTGGCGTTTGGTCCGGTCGCCGCGGCAGGCGCAGACCAAGGGGTGGTCGCAGAAGAAGTCCATCACCTCGCCACAGGCTGGGAAAAAGCACTCCTCCTGCAGGAGCTGGACTCGCATCCGCCTCTGCAGGCCGACCTGCATGAGGCCGCGCGAGAAGGCAGCGCCGGTGGCCTCGCAGGGCGGCGCCTGGAGCCACGCGGCAGCGCCCAGGGCCTGCACCACGGAGAGGTGCGCCCTGCTGGCCAGGGTGGCACCCGCCAGACGCCCATCGAGCGCGGCGATGTCCACCGCGTCGGAAAAGGGCTTTCTGGACGCCGTGCTGCGCGTGGCCGAACACGCCCGGTCGGCATCCCGCACGACTCCGTTGTGGGCATGCACCGCAGCCGCCAAGTTTCCTCCGTCGCAGTCAGCGCAGTTGGAGTAGCCAGGGTCGAACTGCCGACAGAGGTCGGTGCTCTTCGCTCGGGAAGCAATGTAGACAGCAACGCCGTGCTTTGCGGCGGAGCACATGCCGAGTCCTACCTGGTTGAGCTTGAGCTGAGCCTGCTGCCAGGAGGCGTCGGAGGGCGAGCAGCCGATCGGTTGCTCAAGGCAGGCCCGGACGGCGTCGCCCATGGCCATCAAGGAGGTGGTGCGCGCGGCCTCTGAGACCGACGGGCCACCCGAAAGGTCAGAGAAAATAACAGTCGGTGGAGTGCGAGAAGAAGAAGAAGCCTAGTGAAGGATCCCTCCGTAGCCTTAGTTGCTCGAGACTCCCAGTGGCGTTTGAACGGGTGCTGCGGCCCCCTTAGATTGAGGCGCGCGTCGCCTGGCCTGAATCGCAAGTCGCATGGCCTGTTCTGAGAAAGCAGGAGGCGAGCGTGAGGGGAAGAGCACAAGCAAATACTGGCAGGAAGCAGGACCAGAAGTATGAGTCCATGATCACGACGAGGGTGAGGAAGAGTTGAATGACGATGAGGGGGGTGCGGAGGAGGAGGAGGAGGAGGAGGGCAAGTGAGACGGAGGAGGAGCGACAGCAGAAGGCGGCGGCGAAAGCAGATGTGAATGGGAATGCGAATGCGGAAGGCGCGGAGGAAGACAAACATCCTCATGCGTCTTCCCCTTGCTCCCTTCTTCTCCTGATCATATCCTTGTTGTGCTCCATAGTCATCCTCCTTGAGATGTCTACTGCCAGGGTCGAAGCTGCGGGACACGAGAGACACCCAAGAAAATCCACGCGAGCCTCGTGTCCCCCCAAAACATCCGGATTCATCCGTTATTCGTCATTCCACCACGCAACCCGGCGCACGGACTGCAGGCGGAACGGCGCTAAGCTTTCATGATACCTGTCCACGTCGGACACCGTGTACAACGTCCGAAACTCTTCGTTGGCGACCGTCGCGATGATGTGATCCAATTGCCGGAAGAAGCTGTTATTTCCATCCGGAAGCTCCTCCGTCGATGGCAGGCCGTCAACGTGGTCCTGGCTCCATGGAACGTGGATGCTTGCATTCATCTGCCGTGGGTGGCACCAAGGGGGGCAACGATTGACAGCAAGTGCTTGCTTGCAGACTCGTGCTCCCAAATACTCGCAGATCTGCGCTTGCGCACCGATGTGGTCAAATACAACGTTGCTTCCGTGTGCTGTGGCCATATCAACAAGAGAGAGAGAGAGAGAGAGAGAAAGATAGAAGAAAAAGATCGGGTGGACACCGCCAGCTCCTCATTCTCCATCCTCCTCCGTCCACTGACACCTCCGACTGATGACGTTGTCGAAGTGCATCACGCAAAGGGGACAACAACGAAACATAACCAAACCACCAAAACCATCACGGACATCGACAACTCGGGAGCACGTGGCCATGATATCGATCTACACAAACAGCATCATAATAATGATGAGGACAAACAAAATCAAGTCAAGAAAAACAAATGAGAACACAGACTGCCCACAATGAACGGCTCGTCAGGGTGAGGCCACAGGAACCAACTCGCGCACGCGAGCATGCCGCCGGCATGTTGTCCGAACCCGCAAATGAAAACACCCGCAAGCATGCCTGTGCGCTCCCCAGGCAATGACAGGGCGAGCGCGGTGGGCAACTAGGAGCCAAGAGCAGGCAATATGAAGAGGCGGAGGTGGTGATGAACGACAATAGTAGAGCAGGAGAAGGAGAAGAGTGACGGTGAGGGATAATGGAGCACGGGGGCCAAGAGGAGCAGAAAGACGGACGTGATAATGACCCCCCCGCACTCTGCGCAGCCGTTCTGCGGGGTGCCGATAGGGCAACGAGACGAATCCAATACACTGCCTCGGAGGAGATCTACGACTCCCACACTGGGTGCCGAATCGCTTGGAAGCGTTATATCGCGCAGGCAGGCGCGCGCGCGGGCGCGCGCCTCCGAACGTGCACACTGAGTCAAGCACCGCGCTGCTTCGTCTCAAGAACTGCCAAGATGCTGCCACTGCAGCAGCCGCCACTACCATCCAAAAAGCTGTGCCGCCCCGCACTGCCGTAACGTCAGCGGCCTGCTCCAGTACAGCATCTGGAGTGAAGGTGCAGACGCTGCCACTCAGACGTGATCGAGCGGAAACCCGATGAGCTAATTCCATGCCGCTTGAGCGAGGCTCGAACTGACAAAGCAACGAAAGGGGCCGAATATATTTATACTGGCTGGGAACGAGGTGGGTTCCAAGCTGGTTTTGCGACAGCTGCTGGGACAGCACCTTGGGTGGGAAAGGGGCGCCGCCCAACAGGACACGCCACGATCACATAATGCTCGCACTTCCTCTGGATAACTGGTAGAAGGAGCAGTCGCCAGGATGGGCAGTGACGTCAGGGGTAAAAAAAGGAGGGGATGGCAACCGGGGACGCAGGGAGGGCGAGACGGCAAAGGAAACATCGCCCCGGACGAGAAAGCAAAAGAGGCCAGATCTGTTTCTTTCACCGCGACAACTTCTTACCAGCAACTTTTTGCTGACCACGGCGAGGGAAAGAATTGGGCGTTCCTCTCCCTCGTAGTCAAGTCTTTCGGACTTGCCGTCAGCACATGCGGCGGCGAGGGCCTGCTCATCCCTCTCGTGGGGGATCAGCAGAGGCCTCAGGCCTGCTGCGTTCTCCCGCCGACACAAAAGACGCCTGCGCGAGCGGAGGAGAACAACTGCCTCCACACTCGCGAACAGCACGAAACTCTGAGCTCACGAGGCCTTCCTGGGACGCCGTGCCAAGACCGAACCCAAGAGACCCCTCCGAGCAGAGATTGCCCCGAGGGGAGACCTTCCAGGGCCTGGCCAGGGGAAGCGAAAGAACCGACAGCACAGGGGGAGAAGAGACACTGAACATATTGATTGTTCTCCTCGTTCTCTGTCCCTTTCTCTCTATCTCTTTGCTGTTCCCTTCTCATCCTGTGGTGTTGGGTCCTCCCTTTGAAGAGACAGCGCCCCGCGTCTCCTCCTCCTCTCCTTCTCTCCTCTCCTCTCCTCTCCTCCTCCCCTTCCTCCCTCCTCCCCTCCCTGCCTCTTCTCTCCGCATGCCCATCCCATGTCGGCACGTTGCCCCATATGGAATTTCACAAGAGGCCAAACTCGTTGCGCTCGCATGGCACCACCGCGCCCATGTCGGTACACACTCCTCACACGGTTCGTGGCACCATGGGGAGCTCCACTGAAGGCCCCAGTGGCTGCGCCCGCATGGCACCATCGCACCCATTTCGGAACACCCCTCACACGCTTCGTGGCCCCATACGGAAATACACCGAAAGCCCCAAATGGCTGCGCTCGCATGGCACCACCGCGCCCATGTCGGTGCACACCTCACACGCTCTGTGGCCCCATAGGGAGCCCCACCGAACGCCTAAGTGGCGGCGTTCGCATGGCACCACCGCGCCCATGTCGGCACACCCGTCACACGCTTCGTGGCCCCATGGGGAGCTCCAACGAATGCCCCAGTGGCTGCGCTTGCATGGCACCACCGCGCCCATTTCGGCACACGCCTCCCACGCTTCGTGGCCCCATAAAGAGCTCCACCGAAGGCCCCAACGGCTGCGCCCGCATGGCACCATCGCACCAATTTCGGCACACACCTCACACGCTTCGTGGCCCCATACGGAAATACACCGAAAGCCCCAAATGGCTGCGCTTGCATGGCACCACCGCGCCCATGTCGGCACACGCCTCCCACGTTTCGTGGCCCCATAAGGAGCTCCACCGAAGGCCCCAACGGCTGCGCCCGCATGGCACCATCGCACCAATTTCGGCACACACCTCACACGCTTCGTGGCCCCATAAGGCCATAAGGAGCTCCACCAACGGCCCAAATGGCTACGCTCGCACGGCACCACTGCGGCCATCTCGGCACACCCCTCACACGTCTCGTTGCCCCAAAAAGAGCTCCACCGCTGCGCTCACATGCCACCATCGTACCAAATTCGCACTCCCCTCGCACGTTTCGTGGCCCCAGAAAGAGCCCCACCGAAGGCCCCATCGCCTCGCTGGCATGGTACCACCGCGCCCATGTCGGCACACTCCTTACACGCTTCGTGGCCCCCCAGGGAGCTCCACCGAAAACCCAAGCGGTTGATTTCGCATGGCACCACCGCGCCCACGCTGGCACACCCCTCACGCTTCGTGGCCCCACAAGCCAGGGAAGGCCCCAATGGTTGTGCTTGCACGGAGCTCCGCCGAAAGCCTCAATGGCTGCTCGCGCATGGATGTCCCGCCCCATATCGGCACATCTCTCACGCGTTTCGCTGCCTCGAGGGAGCTCCACAGAAGGCCCCAATGGCTGCGCCCCCATTCATCCACCACGCCTCGCCCGCGTCGGCACACCCTTCACACGTTTCACGGCCGCGCAAGGAGCTCCACGCAAGGCCGCAGGGTTTGCGTTCGCACGACGCCGCCGCGCCCACTTCGGGAAGCCACTCACGCGTTTCGTGGCCTCGTAAAGAACTCCGCCGAAGGCCCCAGTGGCAGGTTTCGCCGCGCGCCACTGCGCCGATTTCGCGGCGCCCCTCGCGCACGCCGCGCCCGAGAGAGAGAGCGAGAGAGAAAACGTCACATGTGGCCTGTATGGACAAATGGCTTCGGAGATGTCCGGGCAGGTCGGAATAGGATGAGGTGGATCAAGATGAAGACGATGGTTCGGATGAGGACCAGGAGGACAAATACAAGAAATTACGAAAATGAAGATGGGGAGGAAATGTTCAGAGGGATGAGCCGGCCTCGCTCCCACCCCAGGGAAAGGATGCAAGTGGGAGAGAGAGAGAGAGAGAGAGAGAAAAAAAAAAAGGGCATGGCTCTCCTCCCCCTTCAATTTCTCTCCAATTGTGCGCGTGCCTGTTCCGCCCCCTCCTCCGTCTCCTGTTTCTCCTCCATTGCGCTGCGGACATCGCGGCGGCGCGCCTGGCCGCCACTTATCGTTTTCCTTCCAGCCTGGGACGACCTGCGCGAGTCGCCGAAATTCCTTCGGGGCGACTGGCGCGCGTCGCGGGGACTCCGTGCTGCGCTCCGCGCAGCGCCTCGTCGGCCGGCGACGCTCTGCCCAGCGGCCAGCGCCTGGCCCGGCCAACTAGTTCGTTTTCTTTGTTCCGCGCAGCGGACGACCCGCGCGCGTCGCCTGGATCCTCGCGGGGCAACCGGCGGGCGTCGCGGCGGCTCCGCGCTGCGCTCTGCCCAGGGCCGCGGCCGCCAGCGCGCGCGCATACAGGGGCAGCGAGGAGGAAACATCTGAGAGCCCACCACCCCGATAGCCCGCGCTGCCCTGCGCCTCGTTATTCCTGCGGCGCGCTGTCTATGAGAGTTGTTCGACATTTGTTCCGTTTCATTTCCCTCGCGGCACTCGCGGCTGCATATGGTTGGATCCTTCGTCGGGCTAATTGTATATGTGTATATATAGTTATATGGTTGTTTTTGTCTGTCTGTCTGTCTGTCTGTCTGTCTGTCTGTCTCTGTCCGTCCGTCCTTCCGTCCGTCCGTCCGTCCGTCTGTCTTTCTGTCTGCCTGTCTCTCTCTCTCTCTCTCTCTCTCTCGCTCTCTCGATTTCATTATCTCTCTCTCTCTCTGTCTCATTCTTTCTCTCTCTCACTCTCTCTCTCCCTCTCTTTTTCGCTCTCTCTCTCTCTCTCTATCTTTTTTTTTTTTCTCTCTCTCTCTCTCTCTTGCGCGGCTGAGGGTGCTTGCCTGTGGTGGGAAACGACCGAGCTGCGCGCCCTGCACCAGGCACCCCCACGCACTGCCACGGCCCCCAAACCTGACTATGCCAGAACTGTTGGATTGACGCCCCAGACAGGCACTCAAAACAAGAGCCGCGTGAGCAGTCCACCCGAGCAGCCTGCCGCAGCACAGCGGTGCTTCGCACGTTCGATGAAGCTCGTATCAAGACAAGGAGACCCACGGCAACTGCCTGGGAGAAGTCCCCCCCCCCTCTTTCCTCACCTCCAAATGCGCCGCCGCCGCCGACGCCCCGCCCGCGCCCGGGCCCGGGCTTCAGACGCAGACTTGCATTTAGGAAGGGGCCTTGGCGCACCCAACCTCTGAGCGCACTTAGGCCAGATAGGAAGGGGTCTCGCGGCCAAGTGCGGCGCCACTTTGCTGGTGGGATGCAAAAACTGATGCGACCCTGACCAATTGGCTCTGGCCGGGGGGGCGGGGGTGTGAGGCGGCCCCGCGCTCAGCCGACGCGGCAATAAAGCGCGCTCGCTATCTGTGAAAACGCACGGGGCGACCGACCCCGACTTCGTCGAGCTCGCGCCGCGCGGGAACCTGAAGCCCAGGAAACACTCCAGCACTTGGACCGCGACAGTCCCCATCCCGCCGAGAGACGGCCCAGAGGGCCGCGGGGGCAAACGGAAATGGCGCCGGCGCACATTGAATACCGCGCATTTTCTTGACCTCGATCACTGCCCGCCGCAGTCCGAGCTCATGGCCACCCGGCCCGCGGAGACGGGGGAACTTGAATGCAGACAGGGCCGCGGCGCCAACCCACGATGGATCCACTGTCAGCGACCTTACCACCCCAGAAGAGTTCCCTGACAGCCGACTTTGAAAAGCTCACATCTCGAAGAAAAAAAACGCGCGGGGAGATGGGCCCCTCAGGGCCCGAGAACCGCAGACCTCTCACGCTGCGCCCCATCCACGAAGGATCCCAAGACAACGCGATCCATGCCGCGTTTCTGAATTGGGGCCAGGAACGACGTCACTGGGGCGAAGAAAGGCTCCCGCGTGGAACAATATAAAGTCCTGCGAGCCCCTCTGGAACGCCTCCTGCATCTTCATTTCTTCGTTCATCACGCGCCGAGCACTCCCGGGCGCGGGGGGCTAGGGGGCCCTTCTTGCAACGGCAGACGGCTCGAAGCTGGTCGACCATATGACCCGGGGCCGCAGAGCCCGCGCGCGTCCGAAGGGCAATGCGCCGGATGCGACCCTGTCCGCGCGAAGAGAACCCTTTGGACCCCAGGGCGGTCGCAATCTAATCGGCGCGGGGCCTCGGGGCAGAAACGCCAGCCTGATCATCTACAGAAGCTGCGTTCGCGGCGAACCAGGCCGACCCGCGCGCAGGGCCCGCGCCGTCCACGACGCCTCCTTTTACCGGCTTCTGGAGGGCGGCCTTCTCTAGGACTTTCAAGAACTGCAGCGCGCAACAGGGGCTGGATGGGCGCAGGCGTAGCAGAGCGCGGGACATGTCGCCGCCCCGTTCGTCCGGACAGGGGCCGCGGGGCTTTTCGCAGGCCGCCTGATTCGCCGAAGGGTCAAAGCCGCGGCAGACATTGGGCCCGAGACAGACTTCCAGCATAATCTGGCCAACTTGGCCAGGTCTCTGAATACCGTCTATTACAGAAGCTGCGTTCGCGGCGAACCAGGCCGACCCGCGCGCAGGGCCCGCGCCGTCCACGACGCCTCCTTTTACCGGCTTCTGGAGGGCGGCCTTCTCTAGGACTTTCAAGAACTGCAGCGCGCAACAGGGGCTGGATGGGCGCAGGCGTAGCAGAGCGCGGGACATGTCGCCGCCCCGTTCGTCCGGACAGGGGCCGCGGGGCTTTTCGCAGGCCGCCTGATTCGCCGAAGGGTCAAAGCCGCGGCAGACATTGGGCCCGAGACAGACTTCCAGCATAATCTGGCCAACTTGGCCAGGTCTCTGAATACCGTCTATTGCACAAAGGAAGCCAGCCCAGGCCAGCTCGGAAAAGCTCAGACCTTTGAGGCTCAAACCTCCCTGCAGCACCCTGGGATGGGCGAAATCTGAAGAAACAAATGGCACGTGTGCCATGGCTCTTGCACAAAAAGGAAGGGGAAGGAGGAGGATGTGGAGGAGGAGGGGGGGGGGAGAGGACGGTCGGGGCGGAGGGGGCACTGGGCGGGCGCTGGAAACGCAGGGGGGCGCTGAGACGGCGCG